GGGGGGGGGGACAAAAACTGTCAGAACTCTCACATAATGTGCACAGGGAAATTTAAGTATTAAAAAAAAAGGAAATTGAGTGAGATGCATAGAAAACAGGCCCGATGACAGTTTCTAACCACAAGTTATGTAGTCCAAAGGAATCTTAGTGACTTTGAAGAATGCTTGCTTTGTGCTCAAGATTTTGCTAAATGGTTCACATATTAATACGTCTATTATTGATACTTATATTCTACTTCCCTTTCTTTCCAATACTAGAGATTATATCCAGGACCTCATGCACACTAGGCAACATTTCTACCACTGCGCCAAGCCTCCCAAACCCTTGCTTTTCCTACAGGGGAGAGAGCAAGTACTTATTACTAAATACCATTTTCCCCAATAAACTGACCCAGGTATTCTCACACAGCCCACTTATTATAACAACTACATTGTATTGATTTGACTTAAGGAGTCATGACTGGTAAATCAGGGGGAAAAATTCCATACCCCAAATTGCCTCAATGCATACATACATACATACTTTGGAATAAATGTAACCAAGAAAGTGGAAGACCTATAAAAAGACTTTTAAAAAGCCTGAAAGAAATTGGAGAAGACTCCCATCATGGCCCTAGACTGGGGAAAAAAAATTGTAAAAATGGCTCTTACCAAAAACAAACTAGAGATTCAATATACTTTCCAAATTTTTCAAAGTCATTCTTCACAGAAACAGGAAAAAAAAATTCTAAAACTCAAATGAGAGCACAAAAAGACCTGAGACCCAATACAATTCTGAACAGCAACAAATAATGCAGAAGCCTCTGATTAAGATATACTACAGAGGGCTGGAGAGATGGCTCAGAGGTAAAGAGCACCGACTGCCCTTCCAGAGGTCCTAAGTTCAATTCCCAGCAACCACATGGTAGCTCACAACCATCTGTAATGAGTTCTGGTGCCCTCTTCTGTATACATAATAAATAAATCTTAAATGACAGACCCACCAAACTAAAGTCATAGGTAAAATGTAATTTTCTCAAAGGAAACCACAGTGACCTTATAAAAAAAAAAAAAAAAAGATAGACTACAGAGCCAAATTAACTGGTCCTGGCACAAACTGATGGAAGAGAAGACCCTGACATAAGAAACACAGGAAGCTATAGCCACCCAATTTTGACACAGACGCCACAAATACGCATTGGAAAAAAGCGTCTTTGCTGAAGGATTCCTGAAAAATCAGAGAGCCACATGAAGAAAAGATCTGCCTTTCTGTACAAAAATCAACTCTAAAATGGATGGAAGACATTAACACAAGACCTGACTGTTAAGAAAACGAAAAGACTTTAGGAAACAGGCATAGGAAAGAACTTTCAGAATAAGACTCTACCAACTTGGAAATACCAGTAATTAATAAATAGGATCTCGTGAAATTACATTTCATATAACAAGGAAACAAAGACTGAAAAGACAGCCCATAAAAACGAGAGAAAATCTTTGCTACACAGATGTGTGTGTGTGTGTGTGTGTGTGTGTACATGTATAACAAAATATCTAGAATACTGATTGAGCTGCATTCCCAGTCCCTATGAATACCTTAAGTAGGAAAGGAAGGTATACTTTATTCAGGCTGATAACACATTAAGTTTCCCTCTCAACACAGGAATGCCCATAGTTAGCAATGAGAGGGTGTCATTAGTCCAAGTAAGATTTTGCTATTCATCAGGAGGAAAAGATAAGCTGGGCGGCAGTGGTGGCGCACGCCTTTAATCCCAGCACTTGGGAGGCAGAGCCAGGTGGATGTCTGTGAGTTCGAGGCCAGCCTGGTCTACAGAGAGAGATCCAAGACAGGCACCAAAACGACACAGAAAAAGGGGGATAAAAGGAAAAAATGAAGTCCTATGTGAATCAATTTTATAATTCATGGCAGTCATTCTCAACCTATGGGTCATGACCCCTTTGGCAAACCTCTATCTCCAAACATTCCAAAAAGTAGCAGAATTACAGTTGTGAAGTAACAATGAAAATAATTTTATGGCTAGGGGTCACCACAACATGAGCAACTGTATTATTTTTTTTTT